CTATGCCCATAGGAGGATATCATTCACACTGTCCTCTATATACAGTCACACCACATGTCAGGAGAATACAATTTCTCTACAAGTCAGAAATTAAACTGACCTGAATCAGAGCTTTCTTATTTCAGACAGGAAAATTCTGCCTTCACAATGTAATTCCATCACATAATTTTTAGGTGTTTAACATTCAGACTCTCACCGTTGAAACATTGCAAAATTGTGAAAGAATAAGATTTATATCAGTTTAAAAAAATGCATTTGTGATAACAGAAAGAAGGAAATGAAGGAATAGCTTTCTGAAATGCTTCAGCATTCATCTTCTAACCAGGAAAGAAAAGCATTTTCATAAATGCGAGTCAAGAAAAGTGCTTGTAACAGTATGTTCGCCGACGTTCACTCAACATAGGAGCATCATAGGAGTGATGTATGTTATTTACATCACTAGCCAGTACATGTTTTTTTTTTCCAATGAAACGTATATGCATATCTGTATTAGATGGATCTTCCCAAATTCTTCAGCACAAGGTTTTGGGAATTCAGTGCTTACATTGTCAAAAGACAGGCCCAAAGTGGAAGCAGTTTCTAGTGAATGACATTTTGACCAGGGTGTGTAGATATCTTTTATTATTACTACTGCCTACCATTACCAGTATGTATAAATCAAGATCCTGTTTCCAGCAGAAGTTACCACAATGAACAGTCACTTCCTATTACAATTACCCTTCTTACTTCCAAGTAGCTGGTAATTGTAAATAAAATTAATTACTTGTCAGTGTGGGTAATTCCAACTGTAATTGACCAGCCACAACCCTGGTGTATATACAGGAGCAGCCGTTTCACAAGATGAAAGATCTGCTGCTCTATTCTTCCTTCAGGGACATTAGAAGCGATACTGAAAAGCTATTGAAAATGTCATCACACCACACACTAGTGGCTGCACTGCCGGAGGATTAATCTGTGAGGGCCTGGGAGATGACACAAATCCCCCCGCTGATTATTTAAAGGATGTCACTATAATCTGGAAAGTTATGTAGATGAGAATCAGATAAGACACTCTTTACATAATTATAAAATTTCGATGGATGTGCTACCAGGACACCACAGTGCCTCTCGCGCATCTGCTGGAAACCAAATTGTCATGTGAAATTCTCCCATCACGCTTTCCTGTCTGAAACTCTTAATGTTATCATTAGCTCATCAGACTGAAGCACAGAGCAAAGCCTGAGACTTCAAGCACACACTTTTGCTTGTGCTCTGAAGCTGAGGCTGACCATGCTGACCACTCTTTCAAAGCTTAATCCTGTTGCTCAGGTTCGGACTTGCTTGGCACCACTCATTGGATTTGGCATTGTAAGTGCCTGAAAAGGCGGGATGTACTGCAAATTGACCCTTATTTGGCTTTATAAGCACTTTAATGTCCTGCTTATGGCTTCCATACACAAAATATACCCAAGAACTTCTATCCCTACTACAGTAACCTAACCTCTAAAAAGACACCAGCCAAGAGCAAACCACAAGTGTTATTACACTAACCATTAATGTTAACTACTGTAATGTCTTGTATCTACATACAAAGGGGGGAAAAGGAGATGCAAAAAGATGAAAAGAATGAGCATATCCAATGCCAGATTATCAAACAGACAACATGAAATTTGAAGAAATCATTAAGTGCCGGTTCAGGTGTTGTCTCACCTATGCAGATCCCCTTCTGTGTTTGGTTATATTCTGTACTGTATTAAAAAATGGTGGGCACTAATTATTAGAAAACGAGGGTCAGGTGATGTGTCGTTGGCCTTAAAATATGTAAATGATTACAATACATATAGCGAGAAATAAATTAAGTATGTACCATGGCAGAAAAGTCACCAGCTCAAAGCTGTAGCATTTCCAATCAAGCATCATTTCATGATGAGGAACTGAACAGAGAAATGTTTACTCACTTTACTGTTGGGAGTGGGTTATTACTCAGACATGTGCTGACTCAGCAGAACTCACTCTTCCAGAATGAGTCATCAAGTCTTCCTCTTCCGGGTGCAGGATTATGGTCTATCTACTGTGGTATATTTTCAGGTGTCCTGACTCACTGGGCTTGCATGTGACTCTCATGTGGGTTATTTTAAGGTTATATATATATAACATATACACATATACAGATGTGTGTTGTCACAGTGGTGAGCAAGAATCTGCGTCAGTGTGCGCACTGCAAAGGAGCAAGCAGAGGTTAAATCCACTCTGAAAAGTGAAAATAAACCTGTACCTCAACCAAAATGTTTTTTCTTCTCTCCTTTTGCTCGTTGATGTTGACCTCAATTAACCTCTATTCGCTCCCGTACATCAGGATTGTACTTCCTTTTACCGGGAGGAAAATGCTTTCTGATAATAACTGGAATGTTCGATTCATAATTACATTACACATGATATGGAATATCCAGCGCTCCTAAATTGAAAATACTGTTATCCAAAATTTTTAATGTATATATTTAGCATATATAACAGACTAATATATTAAGATACTATTTTCACAGTTCCTCCTTAACAAATAGCACAAGTTGTAAATGTATTAAGTAAACCCTTTATACCTCATGTTACAGCAAAGTCAAGCTTTCATTTGGGTAATTTATGCATGAATAACACATTAACAAAGCAATAATTAATCTACCACAAAGATTACAATTTCTCTTATTCAAAGTGTTGATCAAAGCTTTTGACCATTATAAATACACAATGGGTATCACTGAATTTTAAATAATAATAGGTCAAAGCACAGTGAGAATTACACTGTACGCCCTTCTAGCACATACTCTTTCACTGACTCTTAATTTAACATTGAGAGAGGTGTAAAACACGAGGTAAAGTTGATTCAGAGTGTTGTTATTTCCATTCATGCCTCTAGTCATTAACCGATATGCAACCTCTAAGTTCATCAGCTTTACTAAAGCAATACAAAACGCTACAATTACTCTAAAAGAAAACCCCAGAATGAGAAGGATATCGAAGGGCCATCACTGAAAGAGCATCTGCATCTGCATTGCTTCATACAGTATGTCTTTTAGCAAGCCTCTTTCTTTAAGCAGAAAATATGCCTTAATCCTCACATATTACATTTTCCTTTGAGCAAGTCAAGCATAATTTCACCCTGGCCATCATGGCAAAGAGAGATTATCTGTGTCACTGCCCAATCACTCTCGATTCACTGTAACTGAAGCAGTGAAGGGAAGCCTTCCACTAGGCTGGAGGAAACTTAAAGCAACTTTACACTACTGTACACACGATTATCTCTTCAACAAGCAGAGCATTTCAAGGCAAAGAGGACAACAACAAACAAAAAAAAACATCCTAAAGCAAAATATCTCAACTGGTTTGTATTGTGCTTACACTAAACCGCCCTTACACAGGACCAATACTACACAAAAGTCTTCAGAACATTTCAGTGCTCTACCAAAAAGCAAAACACACTGCAGTGTATGGAAATGACACATGTATGTAAATGAGCAAATTTGTTTTTTCAACATTTGCATTTTTAATGGCAGCTTGATCATTGTACAGTAGTTAATGTGCTGTGATTGCTTTCCTAGGCAAATATTTATTGTGCTTGTGCTTTCTTCAGGCTGAAGACTGTTGTGTATAGCAGGAGGCAATAACAATGTCTCCCACAAAATCTGCACTTAGAGGACAAAATCAGGTGCTGCAATCACACAACACTTCTCCTCTTCTTACGACTTCAAAATGAAAAACATATCGAAGCAAACATGGGTTTTGTGTGAAAGTGGGTATACACACAATCATAGCTGGGTCCTGTGCAATCACTTCACTTCTAGTGCAGGTAAACATTCTATTTTCAGAAGCTAAAGACTCTGAACATACTACACTACACAACACTATTGAGGAAGAAAATAAATGCTACTATAATGTGAGTTGTACAAGGATGGAGAAAGAAACAACATATACTGACTGTATTGTATGTATTGTATTGTTGTATTATTGTATCATTGCGTTACACTGTGTCTGTGTTGTCTGTGTTAAGCTGCTGTTTCACTGCAATTTCCCTCACGGGATCAATAAAGTATCTATCTATCTAAGATGTACAACTCTACCTTTCTGTTACTGACAGTTCATTTAAAAACTACGATTTAGTCTTACATTGCTGCCAGTGGATTATTAACACATTTTTCCATTTATCCATCCATTTCCTTATGACTTTACTCAATACAGGGTTGCTGGGGAGACTGAGCCTATCCTTGCAAGCAACAGGCGCAGGGCAGGATTCACCCTGGATGGGACTCCAGTTCATCACAGGGCACACACAGACAAACGTGCACACACTCACACCAGGGACACTTTTCCCAGAAACCAATGAACCCACCAGTATGTCTTTGGACTGAGAGAGGAAACCCATGCAAACACAGGGAGATCATACAAACTCCACACAGATAGCAGGAATTAAACCGAGGGCTCCAGTACTGCGAGGCAGCTAACAAGGCCACCCCATTAACGACTTTTATTAAAGAAGTATATTATCCTGCTTTAAACAAAAAACCCCAGATGAAAAATAATAAATTATAATGAATTATTACAGTACTGCAAGGACTTAGTTTATTACGTAAACGTCTAATTCATTAACAGAAAATGGAATTTAACCTAGCTAAAATAATGTGAATGGTGTACGAATATATTTAAAAAAATGTTTCCCCAAATGTTGCGCTTGCATGATATTCATTCTGAATTTCAAAACTCCTTTTTTTGCAACCCCTTAAACTAACATTACACACACACACATTTTTTGCTAGTTCAGTAGTTTATAAGAATTTTAGATCAGCTATAACTTGGTTGTAAATTATTTTTATTTAGCAATTTATACTCACTTTTAATATACCAAACTACTCAAAGCTGATGAAGTCCATAATACCACAGAGGGCATTTTACAAAACTGGAAAAGAAGGAATGTGACAGAAAACTCTGAGTAAACAAGTGATATCAAGCAAGAATGAATTTAGTGTTCTTACCTGCTATTCTGGAGTTCACGTATGGAGGGGAAATGCTGTCATGTGACCCAAGGTCCCTATTCACCATGTGATTGTACTGAGAACCATCAACATAATTCTGGAACAGAATAAAACATGAAACAAAGTTTTCTAAAAAACTCAAAGACAAAAGAAGTTCAATTTCCGCTTTGTATATAGTAACACATAAAGGTAAATTACTAAATTTAGATCATTTAAATTCCCAAATATAAAAAAATGATAAACATAACATTATAATTTAGCTTTATTCACTGATCTTGGTGTACAGATCCTTTATTTACTAACATCAAATGGAACACTCTTTCCTGTTGAAGAATTGTCTGTTGAAAGCAGGCATCAGTGATCCTAAAGCACATTTTATGTTTCTCCCAATTATAATTTCACAGCATACGCCACTGAAAAGGAGCCAAAACAATTGCAACTGATTTGTATTCCCACTTTGATGAGCAACTTTATAATAGAGTGCTGATGATAAAGGAACTGTAGAGATTTAACAAGTGAAAAGAAACGGGTGTTATTATTAGATACTGACCTAGTCTTTTCCAGCAAGAAAGGTGTGAGCCTAATGTGGGTTGACTCGTTTGTGTTATTTGCAGCGCAGGTTCATTTTTATTACTTTAACACACGAGATTAAATCATTCAGTACTTCTGGCCACAGTAATTCCCAATTAAACTGCCAACGCATGCCTTTGCAATTAACTAAAACTAGTAAAGCACAAACAAGTACATTCGGCAAAAGTGTTGGAGGACGCTCACAAGACATTTATAGTGTAAGCATTAAACAAGAGTGTGCTTTTTAGAGAAAAAGAAACCTTTTGATTGTGTGCAGAACTACTACTGTTGATAGAGCAGTCCCAAAGCAAATAAAGAACCTTAACACACAAGATTTCAAAAACACTCCAAATCCCAAAAATGCGAGTTAGATGTTGACAAAACAAAAGTTGAAAAGTTCCAGTAGGGAGCTGTGTCAGCATGCGCAAGCTGCAAAGGAACAAGTAAAAGTTTATTCCCCGATGAAAAGAGAAGGAAAGAAACACGATGTTTCGGCTGTGGAGCCTTCTTCATGTGTGAGATGAACCTGAAGAAGGCTCCACAAGCAGGAACGTTGTTTCTTTTCTCCTCTTTTCAGCATGGGATAAAAGTTAAAAAGGCTGAATACATGCAACGTGCGTCATGCTAAATGTTAATTTTTCAAAGGTACTATTTGTAAGGGCTCAGGAAGAAATCACAAAATAATGAACAAGATGCAAGGAACAGTGAATGATGTGAATACTGAACAGTGTGCAGAGCGGGATGTTCCTTTACAGCTATGATAAACAGTATTCTTTTCTCAGGTATTCATGTACTAAACACGGTGAGTGGCAGCCTGCATTCAAACTGCACCATCCAAAGCAGACAAGGTGAACTACTCTGGGGGCTAGAGTGAAAGAGATGCTTGTGACAGTAGTGCGTTCACCATCACTTGCTATGAACGCTGTTTGAATAGATGGCAAAGGAGCTCCACTCATCACGAGAGACACTCGGCAGTTTTTTAATTATGCTTTTAGGTTGGTTTATCCAACTAATCTACCCATGTTGTATACGCAAATGTTATCTACGCAAGATAAGAAATCACTATTTTAGTACATTACTACAACATTTGTCTACCTCCAAATTTTACCCTTGGAAAACAGCACATCTGATAACTCTCTCCATGCTTTTACAGGATCCTGCCTTCCAGTTTCCCTGGAATTGGTCATTCTGTTTTGTATCTCTTCAACTTCTTTTTTAACATCCCCTATCCACTGTCATGCTATTTATTTGTCCTTTCTCTCATACGCATGCACTCTCCCTCAGCCCCCCACAGACCTGAAGGTGAAATGTTTCACAGTTTAAGCTTTGCCTTTTACTTCATACTTTTTACTTAGAATAGCAACTATTTTTACTAGTGCAGTACGTGAAAAATTGCATGTGTTTTTAATACCATATTCAATTCTCATACCATCTACAGTACATCCCCAAGTTTAAACATGAACTTGAAAACTATCAACAATGCCTTCTGTTCCTTAACAAACCTATCGTTTCACAGTGTCCAGGTGTGTAGCATTCATTTTGAAATTGCCAGTTATTTTAATTTGTGCACACCTAAGGACCTGTTAACTCGTCCTTTCTCCAGAACCCACATATTACCACAGGAAGTGCAATTCTGCACGCCACACTGCAAGTCTCACGACATATAAAGCAAGGTTAGCATCATAAAGAGGAGTAATGGAAACTCCTATTGGAAACACCTCAACAACATGCATATCTGGCAAGTCCCTGGGTCAGGGTTATGCGGAAATCTAAGGCTACCCTAGACAGCAAAAGCCCACTGTTTAAGTTGGAGAACTGCGCACAATTCAGAGAAACTGAATATATGTTATCCAGAAATACTGGATATTTAGAAAGACTGGGTATACAAAATATACAGAATCAAAACCACTGCATGACCCTTTCTGAACATGGTCTCATGATATATCCTCTGGAAGAAGTTAAACTAATTTACAAAAGGATGGGCTTTTTAGGTTCTCTTCTGGCTAAGCAGCACTATTTGCCTCTGACTGAAAGTATGAACACTCAGTTCTTGTTCGATTGTCATGGGTATCTTGCAAACCATATTTAAATCAAAGTGTTCGCACATTCACGGATATATAGACACACAATAAGTACACCAACATGGTAGGTGTTAAAATATATATAATTTGTATTTTCAAGGAACAAATAAACACACTTGTTCCTTTTCAAAACTCAGTTTTGTCTTTATCTTAGGAATATCAGTTAAAGTAATGTCTTTCCGAGTCTGCAAAGATTTTCAGCAATCTCAAGTTGTTTTCAAGTTCCCAAACATTTCTTCTGGAAAACAGATAAGGTCTGCATGTTCTGTACAGGTATCTTTAAGTTTCATTCACAGACTTTTGTTTCTTTTTATGAAACGAAAAATAATGTTATTTTCTGAGTCTACGATCATTTTGAAGTTAGCAATAAAAAGCAGCAAAACAGTCTCCATTGCTTTTCATTTCCGAAGCTTAACTAGGTAAAGAAAAAGTAGAAATGTAAGACACATAATTATGTTTCAGTGTAATTAAAAGACTTTTGTATTTTCATACAAGGTCATAGTAATACATGTAAATGTAATTTTTGCATTGGTAAAATGAGTTTTGATTTTTTTCCATAAAATGAAAGACGTCTTGCTAAGGTAGACAACATAACAGGACGCAATCAACAGATCATTGAGCACAGTACTGCCCTTTGTATTGTCTCGCAGAATAACACAAACCTCAGCAAAGTCAGCTCATATCATTCTGTGGTTTTCACTAGTGCCATATGTTAGACACATTTGTGTTCCAGTTCAAACGTCAACCTCTCTGGGAGAAGACTTGACTTCTGAATTAATCAAACACTTCCTCTGGTTTTCTGTGACAAAGGGTTAATTCAGTAACCTCCCATCAGTAGCTTTTTTTTTTTACAAGTGGTTTAAGCTGTTTGTCAGGACAAATACTTTTTCCAAAACTAAACGCATGGTGTACTTTTTCTTATTTGTTTTTAAGCAAGAAAAACGTACTTTTGAAGAAAAGAAACAAATCTTTAGTCAAGATATACAACAAAGTGCAACCAATACATTATATTTATGACATGATATCAATGTTTTTTTTTATAAAATGTATTTTAACATTATATATAAAACCGAAATGGTAATACGTTTACATTATGACTTATACTTTATGGCATGCAAGATTTCCGTACACAACAAGTACTGTTGTTGCTGTCTGAACTGAATGCTACTGTTTGTCAACCTCCGCAAGCCTTTGGAATAAGAACTGAAAGGCTGCTACATTTATATATAAGTGTAGTCTTCAATACTATGGCAGGAACATCTTCTATCCAGCTCAAGTCTTAATGATCTACTGTACATCAGGTCATTACAGGTTTAATCAGACCAACTGAAAAACTATCTCTCCAGGACCAGGACTGAAGACCACTTACGTACATTGATGTACCACTAACATGCAAAGTATGCAGCTTTCAGCAGACATTATGTGGGTTGATTACATCACGGGTCACAAAGTCCAATCAATATTTCTCTCTCTACTCAAACCCTAATGGGCACAAGGTTTGTGGAATACAACCAAGATGCCATTCTATTTAACTGGCTATGTCGGAAAGGCAGTTTAAAGATAAAATGACAGAACTCGGTAGACAGGATTTGGGTGGCTTTTTCGATCTGACTGGGTGGTCTTCCCTGAGAGGGATGGCTCTTTGACCTCCCAGAGTCAAAAGCATAAAGGTCAATGAACTAAACTGCACCAACTAACCCTGCACTTACAAGAAAAACAAAGAACTCCAGGGGCTGGGAATACAATTAAAAGAACTCGACTCAGCAGCACAAGACAGTCAAATACTTAACACACTATGGAACATGTGGAAGCACAGAAGGCCATATTGACTTTTTCCAGACAAGTACTCAAACACAAAGACCAAGAGAAGATGTTCTAAGTTCCGTTGCTCTCTCGGTGATCCTACATCACTAGTACACTTTGTTATGCAATTGATTTCTGTTTCTTGACTACTCTTTTTATACCCTTCATAAATGTATATATACTGTATATATATTTTGTGTATGTAGGCGCATGTCATTTTCAGAGTGTTCCAGTGTTTTGTCTTTAAGCTAAAACAAATATCTTCATTGTGCTTGGGACCTTAATGATAAACAATGCATCACACAACAGTGAATGGTCACAATTTCGAATGTTCTGTGAAACAGGGGTCATTTTCCATGTCATGCAGGAGTATAATTTTCAAAATAAATAGCAGACCAGACATGTGCTATGCAACATGGCTTAATTGCAATCATTTCTTACTAGCTTTCAGTGATGCTTTACAACCTTTTAATTTAAGGGAACAGGTAGAATTCAGGGCTATTTCTTCTGCTTTTTAAGAACACCAGAACTTGTGAAACGTTACAAATGTGGTATGTTTCGAATTCCAACAACACTTTATCTAAAACCATGCCTTTTGTTCTCAGTTTTAAGTGCACTTCCACATGGCTCTAGGTTTTGTACTTTTGCTCTCTGGTTTGCGTTTCTCTGGTTTCTCTGAAGACGATGACATGGTTGACTTTGTCAATGGCTTTGAGAATTTCAAATATTCGGATCAGGTCTCCTTGTAGCCTTCTTTTATCAAGATTATAACAGGGCGAACAAAATTGCACACAATATTCTTAGAGTTTCTTGCTTAACCAACCGAGACTTTTTTATTTCATCATTAAGTTTCAGAGGCTGGAATGCAGTACTAAGAGTACACTTGAAACTTGTGAGACTATCAAAAATTAAGTATAACAGTATTACTATTAAATGTATATATATGGTTATAAGGTTTATCTTTAGGTTTATCTATAAGATTGAATTAGTTGTTTTGTCTCACCTTTGATGGGCTGGGACGAGTTCCGTTTCCCCATGAACCAGAGCCTGCTCTCTCTTCAAGGCCTAGCAAATATAAAAAGATCTGTCAGATCGAAACATACTCCTCAGACTCCAGTGTGTTCCCACAATATTCTACATCATTATTTTCAAATAATGAACTTTTCCAAATTTCTTGAAAGTTCAGTATCTGCAAGATTTGTTAGTTTTTTTTATTACTCTGTCTTTATTGTTCCACCCCTTATGTCCCATTTCAGAAAAATCAGTTTCTGCTCAACCAACAATAATAATAAGTAATATCTTTATTATTAAATGCTATTTACAAGTACCCATTTAATTATTTACTATCAATTAAATGTCCAGGGCATGCAATGCAGCAATTAAGCATTCACAGTCACCATAATATGAAAAAGAGTAATACAAATTTAATAAAAAATAAAACGCATCACTTTTCTTTAAATCAACTTTCAATTCAAGTATTACAGACCCTCTCAGCTTTTCAGCCACACCTCCATGTTTATTAACACATACACACATACTTGCATGTTAATTTCAATTTTTTATTTTACAAATGATACCAGTAGAAAAAAATCTCTTTAAAGCTGGTTTACAAAAAGAGAATTACACTAATTTTCTATTTAATCTACTGCATTGAACATGTATAGAGCGCACAAGTGGACTGATCAACTCTATTACAAACTGCTTACCAATTAGAACCAAGCGGTGCGCTCCTGCCTCTTAATCAGGGCATGCATCTCTTCACAACACAAAACTAGATGATGAGAAAATGCTTGTTCACCTGCTAAAGTAATGCCCTGTCTTCTTGGACAGTATGCTTCCATTGAAGTACTGGCTGCAAAGTATCAAGAACTGCACAAAACAAACTTCTTAAAGGAGTATTGGTTTGTTCAGAATGCTAAAGGTTTTTTGCACTCCAACTTGAGTCAACCTCCTTCAACTAGTGGTACTGACAGGGTCTGCAGCCAGTTCTTTAAAAAAGTGCACATAAATATATAATAATAATTAATGTAAATAATGCATTTGTGAATAGATAATGCAGACGTAAATAACAGGACTGAACTCACACGAGACAAATACCCCTACTGCCTACTGACAAGTGGATTTCTGAACTATGATTTGTACTATAACCTAGCCCCTTTCAAATGAAAACAGTAATATACTGTACCACTTAAATCCCATAGCAGCTATTTCAAAATATTACTTTATCAGTCTGTGTAGCAGTCCTTAAACTTCAGAATTACACTGCTGGTGTCTTTGGAATATCGAGTAAATCAATATTTTGTATTCAGATTTCCATTAATCAAACAGAGGAGCTACTTATGTGGGCTTATTCGTAATACACATCTTCAGGGTTGTCTTGAGAGATGCTCGGACTGACCTCATGCTCTAAGAAAACGAAAATAAGTGTCCAGGCACCGATTTAGATTTCTGCATAAGGCACGTAGTTTGGGATTGAAAAGATAAAGTGTGTTGCAAGTCACTGAATCCCCCCAAAACAATATTCTTTTCTCTTAAATAAAACATTGGATTTAAATATATCCTGCTGGCTTCATGAAAAGGAGATTTGCCATCATGTATCCTTGTATCATGTATCCATCACTGTCATTAAAAATATACACTTCACCTATAATGGGAGTTTCAATAAACCCACATCAGAGGATTAGGACCACTAAATGCCCCCTGTAATCTAGAGTGATGGTGTGTAGACAGGTGTAAAATAAACATATAAAGTATAAATATAAAGAATAAATACGGTACTGTATATTAAATGCAGATGTTGGTCACATATTTGTACTTACAAAACATATTCCGTTATTACTTTACTTGGATTTTTAAAGAAGACAAATCCTGCATTACTGCCCTAAAGCAATATATTAGGTTGTGCATTTACAGTGTAAGCACATTAATACACTGCAGTATTTCATGGGTTTGATGCATGTCAACATTTTCAATGCTGTTTCACATCAACCCCACAGCTGTTTAATTTGGCAAGGAGCTGACAAACAAGAACTTCCCTTCAATATATTCTTTTGTTTAGTTTATCAATAAACCATCTTCTAAAGAACATGCTTAAAAATACAGGCCTCCCTGTCATACACTGGTATAGGTGTAAGACGGATAAACAATCATTATAGAAAAACTAACAGGAGGAATGTAGATTTAGAGCCTACGAAGTGATAATTCACTTTTCCGTTCTGACTTTTAGCATTTTACTGTAAACCTTCAGTCAGAGGTCAGAGCCAACTGGTTAGTCCACATCACAAAAGCAAAGTGAGGTGACACATTTCAGTTCAGTTCTGTAGAAAATATTAAAATATTAAGGTATTATCAAGACAAAGAGCTGGGTTTTCAGAGGCACATACATGGCTATCAGAGAAAAGCTACTGTATTTACGCCTTTGGGCCCTGCTCCAGACCAATGAACTTTTGTAGGAACATTAAGATTAAAACAAAGTCGCATAAAGTCTTGTTGCCAACCCACATGCTGGACCGGCAAAGCAAAAAGACAAGATTTCATAGTTCATGGGTTGTAGATCTTGGATAAATATTTTCATCCAATTTTCACTATTCTTGACTTCACTAATTCCTCTTTTTGCTATCCATATTCATAAATGCAATGCTAATAATTCCAAATACATATTCAGCAAATTAAATACTCTATTACATGAGCAATATTGGGTTTGCTTATGTGCACGGAGTGTTAACTACCGCCCATAGAGACTGAATTAAGCCCTTGGGTTCCGTACTGTTCTGTAACGCGCCTATCACAAACAGCATGAAACTCTGCACTGCATCAATCACAAGCTAATAAAGTTACGCTGACAGACAAGACCATTTCTTTCACAGTGATGAAATTAAACCAGGTTGACATAAAACAGAAACTTATTAATACAGTTATCGTGCTTGTTATAGGAAAACAGGCCCGTACCTATTTATATATATTTTTTTTTTCAGGGCAGCGTAGGGGGAGGCTGAAAGATAAACTCAGTACTCGCAGCCAGCCATCCCCAAGGCCTGTCTGAACATGGCATTCTCTCTGTTGTAATACTTTTTTTTTCTTCTTTGCACATCACAGTATAAACGCCCGGGAATCCATCAGCTTTCTAGTCAGCTAAATAACGGCAAGTGCTCAGAAGTGTTTAACTGCCTTTCCATCAGAGCTGCAGAGAGGCTTGTTATTAATCTAAATGCTATCCCTTCGGCCTCAAATCCTTGGCATTGCTACTAATTTCATGTTTTTATAATCTGCTTGTAGCACACAGAGTACCCCGTTATTCTTATTTAATGATGATGATAATAATAAATCCTTTCTCATGCCAGCAGCGACAGTTTCTATACAGTAAAACCTTTGTTACAGGTCAACTAAAAAGAGCACCTGTCTGCGCTCAGTGCCCCACTGTTCTGAGCCCCAGACCTCGACTCTCTAATTAAGCAAGGCACTCATTAATCCCACCTGCTCTTACATGCTATGCCATCCTTCAGAAAAAGGCTTTCAATTAATGTGGGAGATAAGAAAAAACGCTCAAACCAAAGTGCTCTTTTTCGCAAGGAAAATGTTACAGGTTATACTACTAATTCTGAGGTGACATCTTAGAATTTCAGTCATTACTGTTATAGTTGATGACAAAATGTTTGTCTCAGCAAAATGTCTGGGTCCCACACACAAACATTATAGTGCAGAACTCCCCCATTTGGATGTTCATATGAGTCCGTCAATTTTAGTGCCTGCAGTGAAATTAGAATGATGTAGAAAACGCTCTCATCTAGAGAAACTCTCTAGATTACAACCCCACAGACCCAGATTTCACTAGTATCTGAACACAACATTCATGATACAAGTAAAGGAAATGCTGTGAACCTGAAGTACAATTTAAACTTAAGATGGGAGTGAAAGTCAAAGGCTTATCCAGAGAAGGGAAGCCCACTACTTATACATTAAGGGCAGGTTTGAGTTCCAATTTAAATCTTAATATCCTTAATGAGCTCATTATTGGCTTAACTGGGCCAATTTAACTACTTTTCCTAGCTTTTCATGTGTTGCTGCTTTAAGGTGACCTAGAAACACAGAGGCCCTCCAGGACTGGACAGCCCTGATCCAGAAAAATCATGGGTTAGGGTTATTATTTCCCAAATAATTTGAGTTTCTTGACAGCCCTGAAGAATTGCTAAACTCAATTTGGCTCCTTCCAAGTAGACATGCTCAAACACTATTTTGCAGACATCAACCAAAACACAGGGAATGCAGGCAAAAATGTCGGCAAAACTAAGACACACTCTTCGATTTCAAATGTCAAAAATATGGAGGTTACAGAATACATTTAGAGAATACTTTTTTAAAAAGCATAGTTACAAAAATTACAGGATGTATTAACTGTATTAAATGTTCACTTAAAAGGACTTTCACAAAGATTTCACAGTTTTGGTCATGACCATGAAAATGCAGAAAATGCTCTATTTTACAATATTAAATGATTAAATAAAATCTCTGTGTTTAAAACATTTCATGCTTCTGAAAGATAATACCTTTACCTGTACTTCAATAACTTATACAATACAATATATACATATATTTTCACAGTATAAACATTTCATACCAAGTTTTTTAAATTGAATGTGAAAGAAGAATAAAACCTGAAGTGAAAACGGCTAGTTATTTTGCGACATCTTCCTTTTCCATAAGGAAACAATGAATCATGCTATCATACTCCTTTTAGAAGCCCCACTGTCCCCAATTTGCATATTTAAAGAGGAACTACATGTAATGAAAGAAATAAAATGCTGATCACAAAACTGTAACTGCTCTGTATTTTATGAAACATGCCTGAATATACAGTATCTATTACTGAGCAGCTATCAGAAAGTGCTTTTGTGTAATTGTTTTATTGTATATTAAAGTTAAACCAATTAATGAATAAGAGATAAAGAGTAATGCTGCAACTGTGTAGATAAAAAGATTCCTGAAAGACTGTATAACTCATAACTGATATGTAAATTACATCCATATTAAAAACTGAAAATACTCTCACTCCTTCTTTTTGGCAGTAC